CCTAGCCCCTGGTTCTCCACTCCAGAAAAGCAATACCTGCTACAATTTTTCAGCAAATATTCAATAAGGTATGTGTGCACATATAATCCCTTTAAAACCCAAGTACACACAGGAAATGTTGCCATCCCACTGCCCCGTCCCTGACTTTGTCCCTCAGTAAGGTGGCTCAGAGTTATTCCAAGTCAGCATATCCAACACTACGTCATTCTTTTTCACAGCAATTTAGCTAGTCCTCTACTGATGGAAATTTAGGTTGTTTCCAGTCCTTTGCTGCTACAAACAAAACTGTATTGAAAATTCTTGCACATATATCTTTGCACACATGTGCATATATCTTTTCACATTTCTGCAGTATGAAGTCCCCCAAAGTGAAATTGCAGGACCAAAGGTTTGTCCTTTTAAAAGCATTAAGGTGTTACCACATTGCCTTCTAAAGGCTATCCCAGTGCCTACTCCCTCATCAGTGGATGGACCAGCGAGCCTTTACTCATACCCTCCCCAGTGCTGTGTATTGCAAATTTGTTGGTCTTTTCTAATATAGGCAGTGGAAAAGGACTGAGAATTGTTTTAATTTGCACTTATTTAACCATGAGTGACATACAGCATCTCTCCAAACTGCCCTTTTAAAAGACAAAAGAAATGGAAAACTGAGGATTTCACCTACCTTTCCTGTCAACTTGGACAGTGGTTCTCAAAGTGTGGTCCCTGGACCAACACCACTTGGGCACTCATTAGAAATGCAAATTCTCATCCCATCCAGACCTGAATCGGAAACTCTAGAGGTGGGTCCCAGCAATCTGCGTCTTAATAAGCCCTCCGTTTAGGCCTGACCCCTAGAGTTTTTGATTCAGTTGGTGGGGTGAGGCTGAAGAATTTGCATTTTCAACAGCTGCAGGCATTGCTAATGCTGCTGGCCTAGGGAGCATGCTTTGAGAACCAGTGAATCAATGCAGCTTTTCTGATGCACTCTACAAAAAAGATTACCAGAAAGTAATTGTATTTAGGGCTTTAAAGGTTGTTTTTGTTAGGAATTTGTTGGACCCAGAAGAGGGGCCTGGTTGGGTTGAGCAGGGGCTTGCCCCCTGCAGAAACCTGGCTATGAGAAAATAGTTTGGAAAGGTGCTGCCAGGCTAACAGCCCTGCTTCAGAAGCTTGCAAAAGGCAGAGCAGTGCCCCCATGTGTGAAGGGTGCTTACTGCAAGTGGAAAGGGAAGTCTGTAAAGGGCTGGTCCTTTTACAGACAGAGTATGCCTTTAAAAAATGCTTTCTCCTGTTGATCTGAGCCAGAGAGATCCTTGTTCCCTAGACAGGTGGTTCTCAGCCCTGGCTGCACCTTGGAATCACCTGAAAATCCTGTAAAAAGAACACCCATGCCCGAGTCCTACCCCCATATATTCTGACTTAATTAATCTGGGAAGAGCCCGGGCATTAATTTTTGTTACTGTTTTGCAAGATCCCCAGGTAATTCTAATGTGCAATCAGACCAAAGAACACTACTTTGGAGAAAAATCTAGAAATCTAGATTGGCCTTTTCAAGTGTTAAGCTACAATTCCTTGCTTAAATGATTTTTTTTTTAATTGTGGTAAAATACACATAAGATTACCATCTCCATCATTTTTAGGTGTACAGTTCAGTAGTGTTAAGTACATTCACCTTGTTGTGCAGCCGATTTCCAGAACACTGTTCATCTTGCATAATTAAAACTCAATATCCATTAAACAACAATTCCCCATTCCCCCTGCCTCTGAGACCTGGCAACCACCATTCTACTTTCTGTCTCTATGAATTTGACAACTCTGGGTACTTCATATAAGTGGAACCATACAGTAGTTGTCTTTTTGTGTCTGGCTTATTTCACTTAGCATAATGGCCTCAGGGTTCATCCATGTCATAATATGTGTCATAATTTCCTTCCTTTTAAGCCTGAATAATATTCCATTGTATACGTGTACCACATTTTGTTTATCTATTCATCTGTTGTTGGACACTTGGGTTGCTTCCTACTTTGGCTATTGTGAATAAAGCTTCTATGAACATGGGTGGACTTAAATGATATTATTAAAAGAAAAAAGAATTAACAGATATAATAATAGTTAACATTGAATGCTCATTAGGCCTTGGCCTAAGCCTTTTACCTATGTCTCTTTACTCAGTCCTGCAAATGACTCTGGGAGGTGTTCACTTTTATTACCTCCATTTTACAGATGAGGAAACAGACCCAAAACGGTTCGGTAACTTGCCTAAGTTACTTTTCAAAGTTCCCTCAGGATAAAAATCATTTGGAGTGTTTGTTAAAAGTACCCATTGCCAGACTCCATCCTGTTCCGGCGGACTTTGAGCCTCCAGCAGGGAGCCCAGAGAGTACAGGATTTGCTTGTCATCATTGGGAGTTGGGAGCATTTGGGGCCACTAAGTGGGCCTACCCTAGGCAGTGTGAACACAGAGCTCTTTTACTTACCATGAGGCCGGACTGCCTCATTAAGGCTGTGTTTTTAAGGCCGCTTAATGGCCTAAGATAGGTGAACAAATATCTCTAATAGGATTTGTGAATTTTTTATTTGTTGCGTGACTGAGTAGCTGTGATATCAGCTGAGTGTGTTTGAAGATCGTTCTTTAATGTCACATCTCCCCATTTTAAACTGAGCATTCATTCCCTAGAGAGATAACATTTCTTCTATTGCTGCCCTTTTAAAAAGGGAAGCTTGAATGAATGACCTAGGTAGGGACAAAAGTCTGGCATTTCAGATTCCAAAGTTAAGAGTCAAGGTTCCCTCTGAACCAGCATTTGTTCCTTCAAGAGCCATTCAGAGGTTCACCAGGACCCATTCAGAGGCCATCAGAATCCACTCAAGGCATCAGCTATTTATTGAAGGCCTGCAGGGTGCCCCAGCCTCTGCTGGGTGCAGGAGGGAGAAATAGGAGACTGGAGAGGGAGACGTGCTCCCTTCTCAGAGTGATGCCTGAGTCTCTCCATGCTGTGAGGGAGCAGCTCTTGGCCCCTAGTTTTTCCCTTAGTCTAAAGCATCTTTTGCCACCTTTCGAGCCTCAGGAGCTCCCAACACTTTGAGATTGTGATCATCAGTCAGTCTGGGGGATCTTGTCTGGAAAGAGGCATGAGGGGGCCTTCAGGAGCATCAGGAATATTCTGCATCTTGCTCTGCACAGTGGCTACTTGTGTGTAAACATGTAGCTTCATCAATTGTGCACCTTCTTGAGTGTATGTTATACCTCATAAAAAAATAAAAATAAAAATGCAGTGTGCAGTCAAGACACACATTGTTAAAAAAAAAAGGTGCTAAACAGTATGTTTGCTGCCATTGGTATTTTTAAAAAGAATATAGGAAAGAACCTTTTACCATATCTTTTATTTGAATTTTGTGCCATGTGCATGAATAACCTACTCAAAAAAAATGTTTTAATGCATATTCCTGGGCCTGGCCCCCATCTTACCAAATAAGCTTCTTTAAGGGTAAAGGCCAGGGATGCCCATTTCTGATACCCTCTCCAGGTGATTCGATGTGCACTGTGGGTGGAGAACCCCTGCATGAGGTTGTGCTGGCCCAGCCTAGGCTGTATCCTACTGTGAGAGGAAGGTAGATGCAAAGGGGAGCTTGTCCTGGCTCAGAAGTTCGTGTCCCATGGTTTGCGGGTTAGGGAAGGAGCTGTTCAACTCTGTTAGGGATGGCCAAACCTCTGAACCGGATTGGATCTAAGTGGGAGGATGTGGGACAAGTCTGTTTTCATTCTTTTTTTTCAATGGACAAAATCTGGACTGTCATCCTGCTGGTCTTTCTTATACATGCTTCTTGGCAAAGTCCCTAACTTTTCCTGGTAGGTTTTATTTTGTCTCCCTGCAGAGTCAGGTTGGGCCTTAGAAAGATGTGATGAATCCTTTCATGTGTATGACCACTAAGCTCCTCCTCTCAGCAGAGCTGCTGAGACATAACATGACTTCACCAACTTCCCAAGGGGATACCGATTGACATCATCTCCCCTGGGCAAACTGGGTCCAAACACCCTCTCGTTCAGAAGTCTCCCCTGTGTGTTTCTGAATAGGTCTGCACCCTGTCCCTACGTCACCAAGAACCTTTTATCCTATTCCCACAGAGCATCTTGGCCATCCCTCTGGACTGAAGTTTGTCTTCCTTTCTTTTCCCCACGCTCACAAGACGATCCTGTAAATAACAGCCACTTGGTACTTTTCTTAACACCGTGAATCACTGTACACAGGGGTATAGCATCCTATTTTGTAGCCTAAGAAGCTAATCCCAAAGAGAATTGCTCTTGCTTTTGTTTACATCTGTGTGCGAACATATGTGCTCATGCACAGCCTGAATATCTGTTTTGATTTCCGTGAGTATCCAGATAGATTTCTCACAACCCACCTTTAAAAGAGCATTGCCCATGTGTTTGAGCCATGGTCTCTTCCCTCATGGGCACTGCTAATGCTGTGTTTCCTCTTATACGGAGGGGCATCTGGGAACATCTCTGCAGGTAGCCAGAAAGAAGTCTGGATATATGTGTCTCTCTCTAAACACACACACACACCTATACAGTCATCCCTTAGTATCTTTAGGACATTGGTTCCAGGACCCTGTGAATACCAAAATCCCCAGATGCCCAAGTCCCTTACATAAAATGGTGTCGTGTTTGCATATAACCTAAGCATATCCTTTTGTATTCTTTAAAACATCTCTAGATTATTTATAATACCTAGTACAATAAGAATACTATGTAACTAGTTGCTGGTGCATGGCAAAGTCAAGTTTTGCTTTTTGAAACTTCCTGGGATTTTTTTTTCCTGAATATTTTCAACCTGTGTTTCGTTGACTCTGCAGATGTGGACCCAGTGGTTACAGAGGGCTGGTTGTATCCATAAATGTTTCTCTCTCTCTCTCTCTCAATATCTTGACGCTCACTTAGCAAACCTTCAACTCGCATTTTCACCAATTTTTGTTGCAGCTGAAATGATTGAGTAGTCTTCCCTCTCTGCCCACAGGCTGCACCTGGGAATTTGGAGCCATGGTAAACTACATCAAGAAGACATATCCCCTGACCCAGCTGGTGGTCGTGGGCTTTAGCCTGGGTGGTAACATCGTGTGTAAATACTTGGGGGAGACCCAGGCCAACCAAGAAAAGGTCTTGTGCTGCGTCAGCGTGTGCCAGGGCTACAGCGCACTGAGGTGAGTGATCCTGGCCGTGTGTTCCCACATCTCTCTGCCATCAGGTCCTCCAGTTAGCACTCGTTTACTGAGATGCACAGTCACCAGACACTGGCCCATGGAGGTGAGGGGAAATGCTGTGGCAGACTGAGCAGAAGTTTCTGGGTCTTGGAGTCACCTCGATTTACTTCCACACCATCCACTGGAGTTGTCCTACCAGTCCCCCTAAGCCGGGGATATGCAGATGTATTTGGGGATCAGATCTGTAACTGAATAAGCCAAAGCTCCCCCTTAATAGCTACTGTTTCCCTTTGGAGTCTCTGTGAGATGATATAATCTGATCATACTCTAGCAGTTCTGTGGAACTGTGAGTTTATGAAAACACAGGAGCCTTGGCAAACCAGCGTCTGAGATCTGGGCCTTATGATCCCAGATTCCTTCTATTTACCAAAGAGTTGAGTCTCAGATGGCATCTGGAAGGGATCTGCGATTAAAAGGAAACCATTTAATATGTGCCCTCACCTTCAAATTGTCATCTCTCTCAGGCATCCCAGAATCACACAAAAGAGATGACCTACTGGGTGAAGATTTACCTCTCCTCTCAGTCTCCTGCTGACAGAACCCTGCAGGATGAGTCCTAGGAGGGCATTATCCTCTGCTCTGAACCGCCCCCACCAACATTAGTGTTTTCCTAGATCACTCCAGAGTCACCACATACACACACTCACACATACTCATCCACACATACTCACTCACAACTCTCCAGGTTCTTCACGTGCATTCATATTTTTTTCTGTATTTACTCCTTATGATAATGTCTTTTGTATTACAAATGGGTATGACCAGTTATTAAAGATCTCTTGAAGAAATCCAGAATCATACAAAAAAGTGAAAAAAAAAAAAACCTGACACCCTGACTGATCCAGTCTAATGTCAAGCAGCCCTTATTGTTAATAAATGAATCCTTCCTTTTTACCTCACCTATTATTTCTCATGGTGTAGTTTAAGCCTATTTTGTCATTTTCTGATGGATAGAGGCTATTTCTAAAAATATCTATTACTGGAATTTGAAGTCAACACATCCAAAGGGCAAATGAAGGCTCAGAATTCAGCCTCTGCTTGAGCCTTAAAGCTGGCCAAAAAGGAGAATTTAAATGTACCCAAAAGTAGACATGAAAGATATCCCTGCTGGAACCTTTCCTGAGTTCCAGGGCCAAGGCCTGGGTTCCCGTTTTCCTCACCTGCCCGATGGGGATGACAATAATAATAAATAGCACCTCCCTCACGGCGCCATTGTGAGGCTCAAATGAGTGCAGGCATATGAACTACTTGGAACAGACCCAGGCACATAGAAAGTAAATCAGTAACTCTTCATTATCATCATTACTCACTGTAATATGATAAGTAGATCAGTGGATCACAAAGACCAATCTGGTGAACTGGTGACTGCCTCACTTCATTAAGAATCACCTGGAGAATCACATTAGAAATAAATTCACTTTCTTGGGCCTCACCCCTGGAGATCCTGAGTCACGAATCTGGGGCATGGGGCCAGGAATCTGCATCTGAACACATTTCACAAGTGACTCCTGAGATTTAGCCACATTTAGTAGTTACTGGGCCCAGAGACCTCAGTGGTCTCTCCAGCTCTAGTATTGCAGGACTGAGTTCCCTCGTCTTCCTGATGGGAACTCTCTCCTTCACTCCCTTCCGCACACTGGTGCGCCAGGACATCCACCTTTATCTTGGCTTGACTAGAAATATTCAATTCATAGCCATTACGTCACCAGAGTTAACCAAAGTCCCATCCTTCCGGTGACTGGGATGATAGAGCAGTGACCAAAGGTACCCCCCAGGACCCAGGGAGCAGGGCCTGGCCGGAGGCCCTGCCTGCTCTCACCTGACAAGTGGTCCAGGTTTTGGCAAGCCTTCTAGCCTCTGTCAGATCAGGCTCACTGGAGTCCCTTCCTCAACCAAGTGCGGTGAAATTACTGTGAACACTGACTCTGTGTTTAGAGAGCACTGGATTTGATAAGCAGGAGGATGTAGGACCCATTTGTTTTCATTTTTTCCAACGCAGAATCTTAAATAACAGCTTCCTTTCGTTTTGCTGCAGCAGCGCCATCTGCTGCTGGCCAGCGCATAGACCCACATGTTTGACGAACCAAGGTGTTTGAAATAAGGCAAAGGTTTAAAAGCTAGGAAACTAACCAGCAGCTGTGAGGTGCTGCACATTTTGCAGACATGGTCTACTTACTCCTCTTTAAGGCCTCAGAGCTCTTCGTACCCATAGTTACTTATTGTCGCATTAGGCTCCTGCAGAGGAAGGAGACAACTTTATCCCCTAGAGCTCAGACAGCTAATGCTCGGGCTAAGATCCCATGACCCTACACACAGGAACGGGACACCATCACCCTGTGTGTGCTGGAGCTGCTGGGGGCTCAGGTCCCCTCAACATTTTAATGAGTTCTACTCGCTGAAAGACAGTGCCTTACTTTCAACCAGTGTAACCTTTTCTTTTCCTGCCAAGGCTTGAGGGCGATGAGCCTTTTCAGCACGAGGATGATGGCAGCCATGCTTCCCTTACACCGAGGTGGAGCAGGGAGGGCTCGCCTGCCTCTGCAGGGGCCACACAGGAGTTCATGCTTCTGGTAAATCTCTCCTAGTTGAGCCTACAGACCGCTGGTCAGTGATCCATCCCCTCCCTCTGGCTTCTGGCCCCAGGCGTGCCCCTCCCCGCTGGCCACAGCCCCTCGTAGGCTCAGAAGCCAGTGCCCGCTTGCTGTAGTTAGTGAAGTAGCTGCTGTTAAACCAGCCCACGTTTGCTGACATGCTGCACCAGTGAAGGAAGGAGACAAGTGCCCCGAAACTGCATGGTATAGAGCTGACTTAACACGTTTCCTCAGCACAAACAGCCGCCGGCTAACCTTGGAAACGTGTGTGGTCAGACTCAGCCTAACTCTCTGGTTTAATCAATCATTTGAAGCTGGGCCCAGTCCCCAAGAGGGTATAGAGAGGTTTTCTTTTGCCTGCACGCTTCGGCTGAACTAGCTGGAGGTAATGACCTCTCTGCAGGTTGGCCCTGCCTCTGGAGGACAACCAGTTGCCAGCCTGGAGCCTCCTTCTGCCTTAGTCTCTTGGGTCCAGAGGTGCCACCATCTTCCTCCCAGAGGCCACACTGTTTCAAGGCTGGTCCTGGTGTTGCCTCCACTGCAGCAGGACTCTTCCTATAGGGCCAAGTTAGAAGTAGCCCACGTGTCCACCAATTTGGTGGAAAACAAGGCTGGTTTTATTTTTTTTAATTAAGAAAAATCTATAAAATGACAGACTGTGTATATTAAAAGTAGTGGAGAAGGCAACTATGTAAAACTCTGTAGGGAGAAGGAAATGGGGAGTTGTCATTTAATGGGTGTAGAGTTTCATATTTTCAAGATGAAAAAGTTCTGGCAATCTGTTACACAACAGTGTGAACGCACTTAACACATATGAACTATATGCTTAAAAAGGATTAAGATGATCAATTTTTGGTATGTGTTTATTACCACGGGTTTTTTAAAAAATTTTAATGATTGCATGTGGGTAAATCCTGGAAGGGAATCCCTTCCCTCCCCAAATAAAAATAGTTGTTACATTGTTGTGGGAAAATATTTAATGTACTTTAAGATTTCATTAGCATATTATTTTCAAGGTATTTTTTACTATTGCCTCAGACCATACTTAATAAATTCACCACCAATCTTAATTTGCAGTGCCCCTGCCTTCTTTGCTTTTTTTTTTTTAATTATTAGAGTCATGCTTGCCCATCCCAGCTGTAGAGAACCTCTCTCTCTCGTTCTCATCCTCCATATTTTCTCAAAGACCACAGGAGAGCTGTTCAGTATTCTCAGTCTCTCAGCACTCTGAGATGTAATTTATATGAGCCAGGAGATTTGAATTCCTTTGGGTGTTAGATGCATTCTTTGCCACATTCATTCTCTTCCGACTTTAATTCCTTTTAATCAGTGCTTTGTTCACTCATTTTGCAAGATGTGAGTTGGAAAGTTGAGCTTTCTCTAAGCAGCACCCCGGTAGCATAAAGTGGTTGGCTGGCTCAGCCATTTCTTGCCTAATTGATTGCTCTGAGTGTAATTGTAGACCCCTGTTTTGTTTAGACCCTCTTCTAAGTGATTTAAAAATCCATCTCCTTGCACAACACCTTTTAAAATCCTTTTAACTGTGCAGAGAGAAATCTCTCACCAGCCGATGGCCGGGAAACCAGTATGGATAATAACCTGTCATTTAATGTTACATCAATTAGAAATAAAGGCATTTTAAAGGAACTTTGTTTTGATATAGATAGGTAAGTAGATCGATGGATAAAATTCTTTAAAAGTCCATACATGTTATTATGGAATAAGACTCCCAGAGAAGCCGTACTTGGGGTACTCTCCTCTTCTCATTTGTGATCTCAATGACAGAAACACTTTTTGAGGACTTTCAGGGGGCATCGTCCCTTTTGGAGTCACCCTGGTTCTTGCTGAGTCTATGAAACCTGCCAACAAAGTTCACTCTGGATTATACAAAGGCTTTCCTTCCTGTGATTATGACCTGGCTGCGTTCTCCCCAGTTCCACTCGTCTCTCAGCTGGTCTCTCCTGGCGGGCTGGTATCTGGCTCAGCCTGGGGAGCACTTCTTGCCATCCCTTCTCTCTTCTGGGGAACATAGCTGTCCACAGGGAAGTCAAGAACTTGAATGTTCTCCTGCGTGGCCATGTAAAGGATTCATTCAGTGTCTGCAGAGCTGGAGTCCCCTGGATTTGGTGCCCATTTTGTGGTTTGCATCAAAAAATGAAAATTCATTTCTTCCATCTGACCTGGCAGATCTCACCCAAACATTTGCCATATGTTTTTCCATCTTGGTCTGTGTTTTCTTGTCATACAGCACTTTGCTCCTTCTCTTTCTGAAAGTTTACCCTACTTTGAATAGCTGCACAGTGTCCATCACAGGATTCTTTCCAGTCCTGGTCCCATCTTAGCAAGTCTCACTGATACCTCTGAAATCTTACAGACTCCTGAGTTAAGTTCACCTGTGTGTGCTCTTCCCATTGGCATGTCAGTATCTGAGACTATAAATGTCATCTTTCCCTCCCCTTTCTTTCCCATTTGCTCTCATGACACTGCTATTCTCATCAGCCTGTCATACCTGAAGTCTGTCCACCATGGTACCCTATGTCACAGTCTCATCTGAGTGTTTTCCCCCACCTCCACCATAAATCTCTTTAAATCTTCTTGATTGAGTCATCTGGTTCCCAGGTGGACATTCTCTCCATCCTTGTGAGTTGCATGCCCAGGAGCCTGCCTATCCCTCGAGTGTCTTCAGCCAAGGCCAGAATTCAGACCCATTCTTAACATTACCAGTTGGCCAGCTCCCCATTCGCCACAACCACCCATCTGCAGAATTCATCCACCATTAACAGAAGCTATGAAAGGACCCCGGGGCCACCAGGCCTGTGGCAGGCCTGGGATAGAACTATAGGTACCTCAGTCATAGAGCAATCTAGGTGTGAAAATTCCTCTGGTTCAACCTCCTGACTTGGCAGATAAGGAAACTGAGGCTTGGAGAGATGAAGTGGCTTCTGCAGTTTAGTGAACTACCCAATGGGGTCAGGCGGGCCCTAGTTCAAGTCTCTGCTCTAACTCTTGCCAGCCAGGTAGCCTGGACATCTTGCTAGACGTTCATCCCATTGCCAGCCCCAAGCCATGGGCTCATTTTTCTCTCTAGCCTGATTCTGTCTCCTGCCTCCTCTCGCTACAAAAGAAGGGCAGATAAATTGGAGTTTGGCTTCGATGAGAGCTGCTTGAGTGAGGCTCTTGATGGGGCCGTATGTATAGTGGTTCCCGATGACCTGCTGGTCTTTTGCCTTCCCTGAAATGGTTGCTGAGGCTCACAGTTAACAGTTAAAACTGACTTTGATCTAAATTTTTAGTAGCTTATAGTCCAAAAGATTTTCTATTTTTCATCTTTTTTCTCCTCTTTCTTCTTCATCATTTTGGAATGTTTTAGACACCTACGAAATAAAAGAACTAGGATATTGAACCCTATGTACCCATCACCAGCTTCAACCATGCTTAACTCTTGGCCACTCTTATTTCTTCTACACCCCATCCACTCACCACTCCCTGGTAAACTGTATTATTTTAAAGCAAATCCTAGACATATCATTTCATCTGTAAATATTTCACTATGTAGCAGTAAAAGACTCAGATCTTTTTCTTAAACATAATCATAAGACTATGATCACACCAAAAATTAACAGTAATTCCTAATATCATCCTATTTCTAGTCAGTGTTCAGATTTCCTTGATTGTCTCATGGAAGTTTTTTAATAGGTGGTTTGTTTGAATCGGGATCCGCAAATGTCCACACATTACCTTTATTGATTTGTCTCTTAAGTTTCTTTTAGTCAGTAGGTTCCCCTGTCTTTTATTTCTTTTCCATCTGGTGGTGGTGGTGGTACTGAAGAAGTTAGGTCTTTTTTAAAATATATGAAATGAATATTTTTTAAATAATACGTTGATCTTTGTTATGTTTTATTAAGGCACTATAAAATTAAGTTTAAGTTTCAGTCCCTTAATTTTATACCCCAAGGTGGTAAAAGACATCCCTTAAATATAATGAATGATAAACCAAAGATATGAGGAATCAGTGGTAGCCAGCATTGGTTGGGTGAAACATGGGTCCCAGCTTCCTTATCCCAGTTCCTCCCTGAGCCCTGGGCCCCTTGATTCCCCAGAGCCTTTCAGTGAGTGATACTTCTAGGATTATTTAGTCAAGAAATCTGCAGCACTGAAGCACCTTCTCTTGGCTTCAGTTTACCGTCAGTGTCTCCTCCCTTCTCTACCTCTGCAGTCCCACTAATATGAAGGAGATCCTGACAAGAGCTTTCAGGAAGTCAGCAAAGGGAGAAATGGATGAAGGCAAGAGAAAGCTAGGATTTGGGGGTTATTGGCTCTCTGAGGAAGTGTCAGTTTGGGTCCAAGGTCAGAGGAGAGGGAGCTGTCCAGGCAGCAGGCTATGGTTCACAGGTTGAGTGACCCCACGTCCCTCCTTCCTCAGACCAAAAGGCAAGTGTCCACAGTCCTGCCTTAGCTGGGGCCCTGCCCATCGTGATGCAACATGTCCTTCCTGCTCCCGCAGTGTTTGGGAGCCCTCCACCCACCGAGCATTTATAAAATGGCCTTTAACCTTTGAAGGCAGCATTAATCTTCACTGTGAGCTTTGGCCCATGTTTTGTGGGCATGTCACAGACCATTAAATCCACAAACCCTTTCCCTTTTAACTTTCCACCAACTTTTATTTTTTAACTGTGATATTATGGGAAATGTTTGCTATTCCAAAATTGAAGTGTGGCAGCTTTGAGGAAATTACTTTTATAAATAACTCCCTGGATTTTTTTTTTTTTTTTAATACCTACGAACCACCCTCCCTCTCTCAAGAGTCCCCTCTCTGGCCATCTGGGAAATGAAACCAATGGATTCTGTGTGAGAATAGTGACACCCAGATTTGTGCCCAGGGTGTAATCAGGCCTCGAGACTCAGAAATCTGCCAAATGAAGGTTAGCATGGACTCCATGACAGCTGTGTTTGGGTTCACACCCAAGGGAAGAAAGCATTGAGCAGGGAGGGCTGAGCGGCAGCCCGGGAATTACCACATCAGTGTTTGTTCACCTGACACGTGGGCAGGGATATCTGGTCACAGAGGCGTGTAGAAGAGGCTGGCCATGCTGTCTTCTCCCACCGCACAAGGTGGTGGTGGCCGAACATGGGCGCCAGAGCCAGGTTGGACTCAGCTAGACTTGACTGTTCTGGTGTGACCCAGGGCAGCTCTGTCCCTTGACCTCTGAGTCCACGGTTTCCTGATCTCTAAGTGGGACTGTTACCTGCCTAGTGACCCCCACTTCAGTAGGCCTCACTGTGCCAGCTACACACACTAGCTCTAGAGGTCATAAGACTCATGGCCCCAGCAGCCATGCCTGGAAGGGGTCTATGGCCTCACTACTTCTTCCATTCTTGCCCCTTAAATGTTAAAGGCTAATCAAAAGAAAGCTCAAATTATGTGATTTTCCTTTGCCATGCAAATGGCAACAAAAGAAGTGTTTTTTTCCCTTCCAATTTTTAAAAATTTATTGAATGAAAGATTGTTTAAGTTCTCTAATGCTTTATGGGGGCGGGTATAGCTCAGTGGTAGACCTCCATTGAAAAATAAATAAATAAACCTAATTACCGCCCCCCCCAAAAAACAAAAGGAATTCAGCAGTATAGTGCTTTACAATTTTCAAAAGTTTCACGTACATGATTTCATATAATCCCATAATAACCCTTTTTCTCCCCTCTACCCCTATATTGCCCCTCCCCCTTCTCTCTCCCCACTGGTCACCACTGGCTTGTTCTGAGTCTGCTTCTTTTTCATTTTCACTAGTTTGCTGTATTTTTTAGATTCCACATATAAGTGATAAGAAGAAATGTTTTTAGGTTTTTCCCTACACGGTCCTTCTCCGCACCCACCCTCCCCTTACACACGACTATTAAGCCAGGAACACTTGCTTCCAGGGTAGGAAGCTGAGTAGGGAATGTGCTCAAATGACAGTTGAAGCAGACTTTGGTACTGGCAGGTCCTATGACGACGAGAAGCCCAGGTGATGAAAGAGGGAGTCGGGAGTGTTACCAACCAAGCCTGTGGCCCCAGAGAGCTTTCTGGCCGGGGCCTCACATTCAGCGACGCTGTTACAGCGTTTCTGCACATAGTTTGAGGACCACACGTTGAAGCCCACGTTCCAGCGTAGAGAGCCGGCCTCCCCAGCGGCAAGAGCCTTGCCTCCCGCCTGCACAGCCACGTCCTCCCCTGGACGCAGTCGCTCTCACTCTGGCTTGTGGTTCTTCCAGGGCCCAGGAAACCTTCATGCAGTGGGACCAGTGCCGGCGCTTCTACAACTTCCTCATGGCAGACAACATGAAGAAGATCATCCTCTCCCACAGGTGTGTGCCTTCCCTCCTCCCCTGGGAGACCCACAGGGCCTTTCTGAGCTTATTTCAGAGTCACTAAAAGACAAAGCTCCTGTTTGTCCAGAAAAAAAAAAGTCAGGGATCGAACAGACTCTCAGCTGACTGCTTTGTGACTTGGTTAGAAACAAACTTGTCCTAAGCTACCAAGTTCACCAAATTGCTCTCTGCTTCCATAATTTTCAAATAGTCCAGAAGGAAAGAGAAACCGGTTCTACTCCATTCTTTCCCAGATGAGGGCAGTCCTGAGGGTGGCTCATCATTGTTTAGGAAGCTTTCTTTTTAGGGTGCTTTTGGGCTTGGAGATCCAGAATCATTCTCTGCTGGCCCCTGGGGTTCTGACCAAGCAGCATTGTGGCAGGAGTCCAGCCACTGGTGCAAAGCATAGAGTCTGTGTATCCACCACACTCTTCCTGCCTGTCTCCTGCTCAGAATCCTTTGGTGGGTTAGCCCCTGACAAGTGCCTAGAGCAGCGCCTGGTCTGCAGTAGCGCTCAAGAAATACCAGTGATGATTTCTTCATTGTGGTTATTGTTTGTGATATCATCTCTTTCCCCACACCTCCCTCCCCTTCCAGCTGGACTGGGCCCCTCAGAGGCCCACATGCCCTCTGGTCTCTCCCACACCACTTCTGCCCTTTCTGAGAATGTCCTTCCCATCATCTCTGCTGGTCCAAACCCAGTGCATCCTTTTAGGTTCCTCTCAGGTGTCTGCCTCCGTGAAGTCAGCTCCTCCTCCCCCAAGTTGTTTTTCTGCCGCCTCCCCAGTGTGAATCCTGTGTCTTGAACTAAACTGGAAAGCACTGGAAGGCTTGATGTTTTGATTTCCCCAGAGCCTGGTACATAAGGGGCACTCAAAAAGTATAATTTTATAGGGGTTTTGACACCATCCTAGGAAAAGCAATCTAACTGAATGGTCAGTTTCTTACTCTTTTTTTTTTTTTCAGTGGTTAAAAGAAAATTTGGTACTAGGTGGCCAGCTGCACAGGAAGACTGGGCTTCCTGTGGGTGGGGTTCACATGGCGCCCAGGCAAGACTGGCGCTCACAGGCCTCTCAGGCTGCCAGGCTGCGGGGAACGTCCCCAGACCTCGTGTTGGGTGGGTGGAGGACACAGGCTGGCTGAGTTTCCACTGAGCTCATGGTGTTTGAGCATCAGTTGTGTGCTGGGCCCTAAGCTGGGTGTGCCTCAGCTGAGGTTGGATGGGTCCAGGGATTTGCTGAGGTTCCAGAATGGGTAAAACCAGGCCATCAGACACCAAGTCCAAGTCCTCTGTATTTCCACACCTCTGGAATGGAAAGTGAACTTCTCCCAGGGAACATTTGTTTTGCTACAGGGCCCAGTCTTGCCATTGATTAATTAGTCCAGAAGGTCCATCGTGTAATTCTTAACAAAATGAGAGAGTCCTTTGGATGTACTCGAAGTGTATTTACATTTTTTAAATATACCACGGAAAACCAAATGTCTAATAGAAAACAGACTTATGGTTACTAGCGGGGAGGGAGGGAGAGATAAACTGGGAGTTTAGGATTTGCAGATACTAACTACTACATATAAAATAAACAACAAGGTCCTACTATATAGCACAGAGAACTATATTCAATGCAAAAGAATATGAAGAGGAATATATATATGTATAACTGAATCACTGTGCAGTATACCAGAAATTAACACAACATTGTAAACCGAGCATACTGCAATAAAAATAAATAATAAGAATGAAAAAACCAAATGTCTAGAAATTTGGGGGGCACCTGTATTATCATTCTTTTCTCATCAGCATTGTCTGTTCTTTTTTCAAATTTTTTTCTAGTTTTATTGAGGTATAATTGAGATACAGCACTGTGTAACAGGGCACTTTAAATTGTGAATTCTATCCTATAGGTATGCAATCCTAATACTCTTCTGGGGAAAAAAAATTTAAGAAATTTGTTCCTCTTCTTTGGGAGAGGGTGTGAATGGATATCGGAACATTCAGTTTTTATAATGAATCTTTCCCACCATAGAGCCAAACCTCAAAGCAAAGTCAGTGTTCCTTCAGCTGTGTGAGCGGGAGCCCTTGCTGGGAATGGAAGTCGAAATGTGCACATTTTGACCTCTACCTTTCTTGTCATCCTCTCATATGGATCTTTTGCTTACTGGAAATGATTACTCTTCTGAGTGCACATTAGCTTTTTAGAGCTGTTGATTTGCCCAAATGCTAAATGGGTAAACCATTATCTTCCTTGTTAAGTGACAGAAACAGCTCATAAAGGGAAAGGGGTTTTGCCAAAGTGGACAAAAATGTCAACACCAGTGTAAAGACAGGGCCTCCACAACTTTGGACTGAGCCCCCCTCCACCCCCAGTGTGGCTGATAGCCCACCCCAGGCCACAGTGCCCATCCTGAGACCTCCCAGCAGTGCAGGTTTTGTAATAGTTGCCTAGGCTCAAATCCACTCTTTAGTTTGTTGAGCTGCCCCTGAAAAGGAAAATAAGGTCTTAACGTTCATACTTCTTCAGTTATTCAAAAGTCAACAATGTGACCTTATCCTCTGGGACATTCTGAAGGCTAAAGTGATTTATTCCTAAGTTCCCCACATATAATTTGTCAAAGACCCTCCTGGCTTGCCTCTGGCTTGCCTCTACTGTGGTTATCTATCATCTGCTTCTTTTAAAAAACTTTTTTCCAGCTCTACTGAGGTATAATTGACAAAATTACAAGATATTTCAGTGTACAGTGTGATGATTTGGTTATCATCTGCTTTTTATTTTCTGTCTGCTTTTTTTGTCTCTTCTAGGCAAGCTCTTTTTGGAGACCATGTTAAGAAACCCCGGAGCCTGGAGGACACAGACTTGAGCCGCCTGTACACGGCCACATCCCTGATGCAGATCGATGACAACGTGATGAGGTGTGCCCACAATCTGGGGCAGGGTGCCAGGCGGGAGACGGTGAACCAGCGCCTCCCAGCACCATGGGTTTCCTCTGCCCGCTTTAGTGTTAAGGGTGAAGAGCATTGTTATTGTTTTTTGTTTTTTTTAATATGTCCACTGTCTAAAACCTGAAGATTTCAGAGGAAAATCCAAATTTCTAATGTCTCTTGAAACAATAGGAGAAGGCTCTGATCACTCGTTCTGCCTTCCTACACGGCACAGCTGAACTTGAACAAGGGCGCTGAGTGTACACACTCTAGTTGTCCGTAGTCCTCACCCTACGGGCTGTGCCTCAACTCCGGTATGGGGATCAGGTGCCACAAAATCTACATGTGGCAGTGGAGTAAAAGGAGAAGAAAATATTTCTTGTACCGTCTGTGTCTCTACCATAAGTAGAAATATCAAAAATAGACCAAGAGAGCTGTGTTTTGCAAGAAAAATGGACAGAGCTTCTCCCTCTAAGGGTGTGAAGACTCTCCTCTGAAGTGTAATATGCAAACCCTGCCCCCTTCACTCAGTTAACCGTTTCCCTGCCTGTCCCCACTAGCCCCTCCGTGACCTGAGGTCCCAACGCTAACAATGTCCCCTTTCCTGGCACCAGTAGTTTCTGATGGAGGTTAGCCTTAGCTGGAAAAGGTAAAGTTGATCTCTGACCTCATCGTTCTCTTTAAAAAACGTCATCCTTTTTATTTAATGATCAAAAGCAAGCTAGCGTTCATCCAATAGGTAGGCAGATACTGACCTCAGGGTGTGGGATCTGTACGTCCTTCCTTAAGGGATTTTAAGAACATTTTTACATCAAGTAACCTTGAAATAAACTCATAAACAGTTACTCAAAGGAAATGGAAATGAGGAGATTCCTGATATGTTCAGAAGGGGAGAATGAATTTTACCCATCCTCACTTACAGTGGAGCGTGTGACTTTAATGTACACATTACCCTAGTGAGAAAAAAACAAATTTACTCGAATCTCATTCATCTTCCAAATTTTTTTAAGCCCAAAAGAGAGTGTTCTTCAACTCTTCCTAACACTCTTCCTTTTTAATTTTGCCAGATAGTAGCACTTTTCATGATCGTAACCAATTTGGGCACCCTGACCATTAACCCATTGCTAGTAATACTGAAAGACTGGAGTGCCTTTCTGGAGCACTGAGACCACAAAGGGACTAACTTCACGGAGACAAATGTCCTCGAGATGCTCTCCGCACTCAGCCTCTCCTATTATGTTTGGCTTAATAGTCCAGCCTGAGCATTCTGGGTCCTTTCCCAGAAGAGATGTCTAAAGAACCTGGTAGTGGAAGAGGTCCACAGCTTCAGGGGAGCCCAGATATCTTGAAGACCCTAGTCCAAAGAAACTCACCATTCAGAAACCGAGGCCCTAATCTGTGTCAGAAAGAAATGAGGTTTTCAGGGATCCTCTGAGCTGGGGCTGACTCGGCCTGCTGGTGTCAGAGCTCCAGGCTGAATCGTGCTGGCCTCACTGAGCACAGGGCAGGGCAAAGCTGCAGTACCTGCCTGCTAGAGCACTGAATGGTTCGTTAAATGTCCGTGTGTCTCTAACTGCTGCTCCTTGGGGGTAACTTTGAATCCCCGTCTCGTTTCTGTTATCCAGTGCTTGTTTCATTCCAATTCACAGTGACCCAGGTCACTCTGCCAGGAAGCATTCTGTTGAAAACAAAGTTCTAGTACATGCCTTTGAATTGCAGTTTCTTAGTGCCTATGGTGACATCTGGTTTTATGTCAAAAAGATGTAATAAACACTAATAATTACTATAGATAACACTTATTGAGTAACTACTCTGGGCCAGTTATTATGCTATTATATTAAAATGTCACTTTAATGTCAGAAACCTCATGGTGCCATTAAAACAGAGCCTGTCCTAAGCTCCATTTTACAGAGGAGAAGCTCAATGAGATTAAACCTTTTGCCTAAGGTCACAAGGTAAGTGGCAGAGCCAGGATTTGAACCCGCATGCCAAAGCTGGGTGCTCTTAACCCCTAACTCTGGTTACTTGTGTATATTCCACTGACATTATGAGTTAGTGCAGGAACTGGTGCTGTACTCAGATCAACTCAGCATTCCAACCTTGTCTTTTTCCTTTGTGTGTGTGTCCAGGAAGTTCCATGGCTATAACTCCCTGAAGGAATATTACGAGGAAGAAAGCTGCATGAGGTACCTGCACAGGGTAAGTGGCGACACTGACTCAGAGGTGGCAGCATCTCAAAATTAGCGTCATTCCATCCAGCTCAACCCAGGGTCTAACAGGCATCCCTCTGAAGTTTCCCTGGTGGAAGCTCAGCCAGCATTTGGCTCTAACCGCTCTAGTTGTTGACTTGGGTTTATTATTGAACCAAACTCTGCCCCTCTGTGACCTCCATGTAATAATCCCAGAGCTGCCCCTTAGTGCAGTGAGGACCAGCCTGCTCCCCCATCTGTGTGAAAGTCCTTAAAACTGCTGCCACATTCATTATTTTCTTACTCTTCCTTTGACAATACAATCCTGCTTGATTCCTGCCATGGTTCCTCATAGGAGATCCGTGTAGATTTCTTACAATCCTAGACCCTTTTTGGGGCCACTGTATATTTTGTTGGTGTGGTGCCTAGGATTGAAATCAAAATTCCTGCCATGATCTGGCAAGCACAGAGTAAAATTGGTGCATTTCTGTATCAGAATGATAGAGGAGCATGTCTTTTGATGGTGTAGACTGGTTTATATTAATGCAGTTTTCAGCAGCTCCAATAAACTGTGTGTGTATTAAGCTTGTGGCCAATGATAACCCCCATGTTTTTTACCTGAGCCACCACCAAACCAGTCTCTCCCATTCCGTCTTTGAACAATTACTCTTTTTACTCAAACACAGGACTTCCCATTTATCCCTGTCAGTGTCCTCCTGTTGGTATGGCCCACCACTCCCCCAGCTAAAGCAGATCATTGTGACTCTCTGTCCTGTCGTCTGTCATATCAGCCATCCCTCCTGCTTCATCATCCAGGCTTTTTGTGTCGTCATTTAAGCCATTACTGAAACATTGAGCTGTCTAGAGCCAATGTCAGGGACATCCAGTTTAGACAACTAGTCATTTCACCCCTGAGCATGGCTGTTCAGTAATGTCTGCGTTACCCCATCAGCATCATATCTGCTAAAATGAAAAAAGACGCTATTTTTGCTGTTTTGCTAAAACAGATGTTAAATGCAAATCTGCCAGGAGCTTCCTAATATCCACCAGCCTGCTCCTGTTTTCAACCTTCAGATTCCTCTAGAAAGACTCTTTTGTCTAGCATGGAGTGCACTCCTTTTTTCCTCCCCACAATATAAATTGAATGAATATGTGCACAACTCTTTGTAAAGCCATTTTCCTGAAAGGTCTGGCTAATCTGAAACATTGTGAAGATGATCAGAAATATTTTGCGAGTGAGCACCGTGGAGTCTTTACCCGCGCTCCACCAGAGCACGTGGGGCACCTCGGACCCCGAGCTTGGCTCCTGCACTGCCTGCCCGCCAGGGTTGTCATCACAGCAGCAGTTACCATTGCTGCCACTGCCAAGGAACACAAGGCGTCCTTAATCCAGCTGTTCAGCAGACTGAGCACTGACCCTCTTCCTCTGGCTTCCAAGACATGTCTGGTAGTGAATTTGAACCCTGGCTCAGTGGGGTCTAAATAAAGGGAGTTGATCATTTAATTCTGCCTTATTTTCTTGTTTCAGATTTATGTACCCCTCATGCTGGTGAATGCAGCTGATGACCCCCTGGTGCATGAAAGTCTTCTAACCATTCCAAAGTCTCTTTCAGGTAAGTGGTTTCTTCCTGCTGCTCCCTCAACCACTCAGCAAACTGCCACAGTAAATTCTGTCACCTTCACCATGCTGTCATCTCCTGGAGACCAGGACATCTCATGGCAGTGTTCTTATTTAGTCTAGTCTGATAGTCCCGGGACTGTGATGGAGCCCAGGCAGAGCCTTTTCGTGTTCTGTCCTGGTGCAAGAGACAGGAGCATCATTTATATCCGTAGCCAGGTGTGGGGAGTCCTCTGGTGTTCTATGAAATTATTGTCTCAGGGATGTAGTTCCATTAAGGCTGAGAGTTTGACATGAAGAGATGTTTACACTTACAGCTTGACTTGAAAAGCAAAACAAAAAAGCCAGTTCTGCTACCTCTTGTGACAGACAGCCTCCCCATCTGCTCTGAGGATTAAAAATACAAGCAACAGAAAAAGCAAAGAAGGTTGCTCATGGGAATGACATTGTGTCTCAGGCCAGCACAGTCTCATGCCAGGCTAGGTAGGAGGTACAGGAGAAGCTCGAAAGAGGGTAGCAGAAGGAAACACTGGAGCCACAATCCAAAATTACTTTGCATTATAATCCAGATCTAATCTGACCAAAGATGCTCCTTGCACAGTCCTCTGTGATTATGTTTCCTCTTGTAATTATCATATGTGCACCAGAGGGAAGAGGGCCACTTCTAGTTCTCTCATGACCCCAAGCTAAAGAGTAGATAATATAGCAAGCAGACAAAGGAGCCACGCCCAGACAGCCTCGTTCGCTGCTCAGAGTGAATGCGTCTGTCACAGGTGTGTTATGTGATAAAAGCTCTCTCCTGTCAACCCGATCAAACCACAGGCTTCCTGCACAAAAGCAGCCCACCCAGCCATGGGAGCAGCAGTGAGAGGAAACAGCCACTCTGGTTTCCCTCTGCACATCTAAAGTGACATCCATAGCATTAATGCTGTCACACAGAAATTTATGAAATAGCAACTGAAAAGGAAGAATAAAGGGTGTCAGACAAGAAAAGAGCCCCTGTAGAGCCAGAAATATGCATGCCAGGAAGTGCCTCAGAGGCCTGGAGCAGCCAGCAAGGGGCCCCTTGTCAGTTATCCCTTTGGGAAGACAGATGCTTCATGTGGTACCTGACTATACCTGGCTGTCCACTTTGCACACATCTTCAGTAATGGCTTTAACTAGCCCATGTGGGACTAACTTAAACATAGACTCATAAGTCAAGCTCCAGGTTAGTAATTCTTAGATGGCCATTTAGCATGTGCCATTGAGAGCTTGGGCATCTTTTAACACAACTTGCAGCTTTATATTTCAGTCTTAAAAGTCTGTAATGAAAAATCATTGACTCCATTGAATTCATCTGATACTCTAGCAAATAAGAGAATGCTGTGAATCCCTCCTCAAAGCCTGGCCCCCACCAGTAGCTTCGGCATCATCTGGGAGCTTGTTAGAGATGCAGAATTTTAGCTCATTCCCCAGGCCTATTAAAGCAGAACCTGTATTTTATGGTGGTAGCCCAGGTGATTGGGATGCACGAAGTTGGGAAGCACCTGGCTGTACAATCGAGTCACCTGGGGAGTTTTAGCAACACCCATGCCTGGGTTCTCCTTCTCTCACCTGTCACCCACCGCGCCCCCAATCAGAATCTCATTGGTCTGGGTGCAACATAGGGATCGTCTAAAAACCCGGGTGATTCTACTATGCAGCCAAGTTTGAGAACCATTTAGAATTCTAAGGATCTCTAAGGCCCATTCTGGCCCAAAGCCAAGCTGCTATTCCCAAACCTGCTAGATGCCACCATCTCGCCTGCCCCACCGAATCCCCCTCCCACTTTGGTGAATGAGGCAGAGGGAGTGGAAGTTGGATGCCCACTTAGGTGACACCTTCACCTGTGGGGAAAACCTGGCCAGCTCGCTTTCGCACCTCCTGCCCTGGAGCTGAGAGAGGCCAGTGACTCACTCAGCTGCCTTTCTCCTGTAGAGAAACGGGAGAACGTGATGTTTGTGCTGCCGCTGCACGGGGGCCACCTGGGCTTCTTTGAGGGTTCCGTGCTGTTCCCCGAGCCCCTGACATGGATGGATAAGCTGGTGGTGGAGTACGCCAACGCCATTTGCCAGTGGGAACGTAACAAGTTGCAGTGCTCTGACACGGAGCAGGTGGAGGCCGACCTGGAATGAGGCGCCCCAGACTCTGGCACTCTCCAGCTGCCCTCCTCTGGAACTCATGTCCCTCACCGGCTGTTTCAGGTCTCCCATCTCCCTCAATGACCTGGATCTGACCTCACCATCAGCGGGGGCAACCCACCAGACACACCTATCTTGAAGTAGGTGGCTGTCCCTGGGGGCTCCAGGCTATTTTTGTGCTTAATTACTGGTTTTCTCCATTGCTTTGTTAGCCACGGTGACAAACAACAGGGTTCTCACCCTCCTGTCCAGTTTCAGCATCTGATTGCTTTCAAGCCAATTACATCTAGTTTCCCTATTAAAAATGTGTCTGGACAGCAGTTTTGCTTTGCCAATCAAAAGGCTTTTCCCCAAGAGCAGTGAAGGATGTGTGTTATTTTGTGGTGGTTTAGATGTGTCCTTATGTAGACCCTAAAAAGAGCCAATGCCATAGATGAGGTTCAGCTTGGGAGCCCGAAGCCCTGGCCTCCCAGGCCAGAGTGTGGCCTCCAACATGGCAAAGAAGATTCCCTTGAGTCACGAGCCAAGTTTCTTCCTCACTCTTTTCTAAGACAGTTTGCCCACACGTTGCTGATGACGAGAGTCACCTGGGGCGCTTGTTAAAAATTCAGCCTCCCAGGTCCCTCCCCTTGAAGAAGCTGATTCAGTGGGTCTGGGAAGGGGTCTGGGGATTTTAATTTTTGACAAGTGCCCCATGTGATTCTCATCACCAGGCAAATCTGAGAAACACGGTTGTGCGGGGCCTTTAGAAACATCTCAGTAACTCGTTTTATTCAAATTCATGGTCGGAGGTGTCTCTCAGCTCCCAGGAGCCTCCAAAGCAGCAAAACCTGTCAAGTGCAGCTGCCCTAGTGTGATCTTAGTGTGACGTCCCAGAAAGGGCCTGGGTGGGGTGAAGACTTTGGGCTGAGGCTCTGCTTCTCACTGGCTATATGACCCTGGAAAAGTCCCTTTGAAGTTTAGTTTTTTCACCTGTCAAATGGGGGACTTGGACCAGGTAGATTGCCGAGATCACTACCAGTTCTAAAGTTCAATGACAAACTCAGTTTACTGAGGTTTGAGAGAACATCCCTCCAGTGGACCCTGGGAGCTATTCTAAGCTTGTAGATGTCACCACTTGCCTTTCTTTTCTTTTTCTTTTTTGTCCCTCACTTCATATAAAGAGGTTTTGGGGTGTTTTTTTTTAAGCACTCAGTTATAATTTTATTGTTTTTTTAACCCAGACCTCTCTCACACCTGCTTTTGATACCAAACAATTCAAAAGTTGGATCTGAGTTTGGAGAAATATCTTTCCAACTGAAGACGGTGTGATCTTGAAACCAGATTTTTAATTTAATAGCTTATATCTGTAGTCTGTTCGCTAGAGCTTTCCAGAGTGTGTCTTCTCAAATGAAAAGTCACTCCAGGTTTCAAGTACTCCTATCCTCCAATCCTGTGGTACTTGAATATCTAAAAACCCGGCACTTTGAAAAATTAGCTATCTGGAACTAAACAGGATTATGAGTGAAATGGCCTAGATACTTTAAAAAAATTTTTTTTGTTCTTGCTTCCTCTCCTTTACTCTAGGACAGACAGGAATATAAATAGTGGGTCTGTGTGTGCATGTCTAAAGGGTAAAGGGAGCCACCTGAGGGCCTGGAGGCCACCCCTCATGGCCACGGGTGGATGTAGTTTGGGCATCAGTCCAAGTCATGTGACAGTAATGTCTGTAACCCGAAGAAGTTGTTTTCTGACAATCACCAGATCGTTCTAACTAGTAACATCAAAAACAGCCATTATCTGAAAAGATTGAGACTCTGTGGTCTCCACTTTGCTTCGGTACAATTTCTCACACACACCAAATTCATCATTGTGACTTCCTCCCTAAGTTGTTATTTTTCAAGTGCATTTCTTTTTCATTTCTTTCGGCACAAATTGGCACTTTATCATCTACCCCTCAATTTGGAAGCTAGTCCCTCCCCTCTGTTACTGTTCCCTCCAACCAACAACCACAGCTGTAATCTAGAAGATTCATCGTCCCATTTCCATTACTACCTTCATGTCTTGAGACTTTTTTGTGAAATTAGGTATACGAAGCAATAAATCAGTGGGGTTGAATCACCATCCCAGGAGGCAAGAGGCTCCTTTTCATTTGCCTTAGGTCTCATCTCTTATCTATTCTGACAAAGTAGTGGCCAGGTACCAGCTCCATTGAGAAGACGACAGTGCTGTTGTCACACACATGGCAGGGCAGGGGCAGAAGTCCTTGGAGCCTGGTCTGCACGGCAGTTCTGAAGCCCACGGAGGAGAGGCAGGGCTCAAGGCATAGCTTTTGTTGCTCCACAACCGGAATTTACCCCGCAGTTCTGTGGGGGCCGTGTCCCAGCTGAAATCTTTTTAGTGTGTGAGTCTGAATGGCCCTTGCATTCCATTTTGGCTCACATGAAATCAACTGAAGCCCTTTTGTTCAAGCTTCAGGGTCTCAGGCATGGCAATGAGAGTATAACTGTGGCTATCTTAACAGGAAAATTCTTGTTCGTCCCTGAATGGGAGCATAGAGGCATTGAATTTACAGAGATGCAAGCTCGCCTAATAAACAAGGAAGCATCATTTTATATGTAGGTCAGCTTTTTCCTTCCTCCCGCTTTCTTTGCTTTTCTTCATAAAGTCATTCCTTTCTGATGATAACGTGAGAGCTCTTCTTGCAATCAAGGTCCTATTTGGGCTCAAACAAGGCTGAATTGTCAGAGTATTTGAACATTATATTTTAAAATCAGATGAAGGATATAAATTGCAGGAGCCTAGACAATTGTATCGCAGGAAGAACATGTTTTAACATGTCTCTGGGTTGTACTCCCTGCCTCTAAACAGTATGAAAGCAATGATGATTAGCTGAGCCCAAATGAGGATTGTCTGACTTGAAAAATGGTCTCAAGTCTCCATGATGCGTTGATGTTAATAGGGAGTTTAACAGACTTGAAGAAAACCTCTTACCTTTCCTGCTGTGAGTTTACACCAGTCAGTCCAGGGCAGAATGAAAGCAGAAAGTTGTTTGCTGTCACTATATTCTTTGAACCCCGCTGCAGTGTTTACACACGCTGTAAGAGTGGGAATATGCCTGTAAGGGGAGCATTCCTTTCCTGATGCGGTGTGATGGAACCAGGGTCCAGGAGACCCAGGTTCTTGTCCTAACTGTCTCTAATTCACACTGGGTTGTGGGCAATCACCTCACCTCCTTCACCTCTCTGAACTCCAGTTACCTCATCTTAGACCATCTCTTAGTCCACTTCATCTATTTACACATCATTTGCCGGAACATTCCCACTTGCCTTCTACAGCCCTTGCAAGTGGAAACAGATATGTCAAGGCCTCGGGCTTATCTTGAGAGGGGACTTGAAGAGGGAGTTACTGCTTTGAGCCTTCGTTGCTGAAGACCCTTGATTTTGCCCAAAGCCCCGTGTCTCTGACTGGCTTCTCTTCAGAGCCTCCACTGTCATCTCAGTATCCCTTCTGTGCCGAGGGTGGTCTTATGACTGGGACAGGTGCTGACCGTTGGAACGAGCCAAATATCCCCATCCTTCTGTGTGACTCAGGCAAGCATTGAGAGTTCCCAGGGCAGAAATCCTTCCTGCTCAGGCTTTCATTCGAAAACTACGGTCTTCATTAAAGCTGAACTTTCTGGGTAGCTGCGCTTATATGCCTGGCATCTGAATGAGAGCTCTCTTTGTCGCTGTGTGGCTTGAGATCCATCTTGCCAGCTCCGGGGAAACAATACGTGTGTTCTTGTTTGTGTTTGCCAGACAAGCAGATGTCTGAGATGTGAGAGGCTTTTGTTTTCCCTGGGCACCGGTTCTGACCTGGAGCTAAAGTAAAGATCACTGAAACATCACGTTGAGTTAAAAGAATTCAGGTCCTTGTCCTCTAAGGCAGGACAGGAGAGTTATTAAGAAGCATTTCCCTGCGGCATCCACTCACAATATCATCTGGGATTGTTTTCTTTGCCCAGAAAGCCTTAACTCGCCTCTAGAGTATCCCCTGGTATTACAACAATACTGTGGCTTTGGAATTCAATTCTTCTGCTGTAGATGTTTGAGGCAAAGCCACAGCAAAACCAGAGAATTCCTTCATGTGGCCTGTACGCTCCTTGTTAACGTTAGACCCCCTCAACCCCCTCAACAATATGAGTGACCCCAAACTGGCCAAACACCTCGTCTCTGATGCCTTTCTTCCTTCGTGGCCTCATTCTGTGTTCAAAACCACTTTGGATTCATTGGATGCTTCAAAAAGCCATGAAAAGTGGCCTGCCTGTGGCATTTAGAGGCCCAGCAGTCGAGGGAAAGGTTTCCTCCTCCCTCTATTAGCAGAGGGAAGTGCCCCCGTCTTTGTAAACTCTGACTGCTTTTGCCAAATGGCGTTTGCAGGGGAACTGGTCCCTACTGGCAGTGAGAACTGGAATGCTATCCACAATGAAAGCTCCCTCCTCACTGCTGCCACTGCCTGCGGATGCTGCAGCCTGGGCATCCCCACCGTGTGGCCCTTGGAAGCAGGCTGCAGAGCCCAGCTTGCCAGCCATTCTCAGACCCCAGGCAGTAGACAGCTGCCCCTTTTGAAGGAGTCAGGCCCACCCACACACCATGTTTTCTAAACCAATTTTCCTAGCATGTATGTGGGTAAAATGTTCATATATGAATGAATAAGCTGAAGTTAATTTCTAACCAGTGGATTAAGTCTTTTAACTCAACTCCTGCCAATCAGTAATGACATCTGTTAACCTACCTTCTCCCCCTTCTGGACCCCATCCGCCAAGAAATCTATCGCCATAAGTTGGGGACAGTCCCCTGATAGCACCTGCAGAAATACCGTTCATCTCCACGGGCATTCTCCTTCCAGACCACCCACAGTTACCCAGAGTAACTGCTGAGCCCTCAGTCCCAGCGCCAGCCACTTGCTTCCCAGGCTGCGTGCGTGGGTGGACCAAGTTCCTGGTGTAGGAGTTAGGTTTTGTTTGGTTTTTGTTTTGGCCTCCTTGGTTCATCCTAAAGCACAAGTCCATGTAGAATCCTGTCACCTCTCCGCACCAGTTCAGATGATCTGGGTCTCTCCCACTGCCTCAGGAAGACCTTCACTGTACCTGAGCTTTTGACTTCTGCCACTGCAGCTGCCTTAGCGACACCAGGGGTTGGGGGGTGCGTTGGAGGGGGAGGCCAGTTTGCATCTCCCCCTTTCCTGGTTAGACTCCCATTAACCACATTCTTCTGTTGGTAGATCTGCTTGCAGATTGATTTTTGAGAACCATCACTTTCACATTCCTAATTTATGTTTGTTTTGTTTGATTTCGTTTTGGGGGATTTTCTGAAACTTCAAATGCTGCCCTGAAGATGATGTAGTTTTGAGTTTGTGTTCTGAAAGCCTCCGTGCTGCTGGATTTAATGGGGGCATGGGGGAAACAGGGGATCCTCCAGCACCGAGGTGTTTAAGATTTGCAACTAGCAATGCAATTTTTTCTAAATATGAGGATATTTACCTTTATTAAGAAATGATAATAAACAATCAAGGTGTCCTTGATCATTTTATGTTCTCATATTACTTTCGGTTCTATTTTGATTCCATGTGGTGGTAAACAAAGATCATTACAAACAAAAACTGTAATTTTGTTATCTTTGATTCAATGGAATTTCTTTACTTAAAAAAATAAAAGACTAAAAATGTACTGTGGCTGTGTGTCCTTCTTAGTGGAGATTTTCGATCTTAAAGGGTCTTCCTGTGTCTTCATCAAAGCATGAGCTTGAAAGAAGTGAGCAAAACACCAAGTTCTCATCACAATTGATTTTAAACCAGCCTTGCAAATACCAAAGAAATTTTCAGGCCACAGGTGTCTTTACAAGCCCATTATCTCCAGGCAAGAAAGCCAAGGCCCGAGATAAGAGAGAAAGCAGCATTTTAACCCCTTGCTCTATAAAGTGAACCACGTAGACAAAATGTAAGGTGAGATGTAAATGGTGGTTGCCATGCATGATTCACATACTCTTCTAATAGTGTTCTTTCAAGGACTAAATTAAGATTATATTGGGTTGGTGGAGTAATGGTGGGGTTTTCTTCTCCTTTGTATCTGTCAGAATCCAACCTAAGGGTCTCCCAGGGTCAGTCACTGGCCCAGCCAGGAGAGTTGTGCCCGTCCGTGCGCCCCTACCCCAAGAACCTTGCAATTGGAGTTTTCTACCCTCCTTGGCCATGTGAAACCTTTGACAAGCTAAGTAGGGTGGGGACTATTGGTTTTGGAGGATGTGCATTAGCATGACCTAGGAATGCCCAATGTCAAATTTCAAAGTACGTCCCTTTCAGGTGAGCAAGCTTCTTCCCCACACCTCCCTCCACTTCCTATCCCCTGTAAAATAGCCAGGCCATTTTGATCTAAGAAAATCAACTTGCAAAGAATATTATCTATAAAAAGCACCACCTGGGAGAGACTTCAGGTCCAGGGTGTTAGCTGGGTCGACGCCCGCAGCTTGCCAGTGTGGTTGGCACACAGCTGTGCCTCTCCTGATACTTCCCTACAGGTTTGTTCTTGGTGACATTTATCTGCAATCACTCACTCTCCCAAGGGGGCTGATATATTTTTTGTTACCTTTCATTAACAGGCCCCTCAGCTCTAGCCCTATGGGGAGTACTTTCCCATGGGCAGGACCGGACATCTAACTGGATGGCCCTCCAGCTGCAGGACAGCCTCCTTCCTCATTTCTTTCTTTGGTATCCCCTCCTTAGAGGAGGTTACATATATGTAGCTGAGTGGTTGGGAAGACATTACGGGAAGCTTAGCCTTGAACTGCTCAATCTCTCCTCAAAGAAGACATGGTCTTTTCCTGCCTTAATATGGTTACCTTGAGAAATTAAATGTGCCCACTTACACATTTCCTTCCTGAAGGCAGGGCGACTTCTGGTCACGGCCCCAGAGAAGACATTGCTCTAATTCTGGGACCGATATCCAGGCATAAGCTGCTGCCATCCCACAGGGATTTTGCAGTCCTGCTCAAGAAGAGCAAAGTGCAGAGTTTGCCTTTAAATCCAATATTAAAACTATGGTTCCTTTAAACTCTCACCTCCTCCCTATGTCAAAACACATGAGTTGGAGCAGTACACATTGGAGCTACCTGGGGAGCTGGGAAAGGTCTTGCTCTCCAGGTCACACCCCCGCCCGAGTACTCGAGAATTTCTGGGTGGGGCCAAGGCCTCAATAGTCATAAAGCTCCCCAGGAGGACCTGCAAGGAGGTTGCAAGCCACTGCTTTGGACGCTCTGATTGGTCCTTCAATGTGCAGTCCCCTGAGGGTCTTATCAAAATGCAGATTATGACCCAGCAGATCCGAGGCGGCACCTAAGATTCTGCATCACTAGCAAGCTCCCACGTGGGGCAGACGCCCTCCTGGGAGCACACGTTGAGTACAGGCTCCCAGGTATCCTGTGAGCTTCCGGACCCTGCACTGCTGAGCTTCCTCAACACCAGAGCCATGCCCACCATTGAAAGTGGGAAGAAAGGAGGTCCAATTCACCCTGAAGGTGATTCTTGAGCTCTTTTTTCGGATTGACTTAACACTTGGGCATCCCTCTTCCAGGAAGACTTTGCCAGGACACCAGGCAGCACTAGCCTCCTCCAGCACCCCTTTGGTAAACTCAAGCCTCTAAGCAGGGCCAGTCTTGCTCAGAGGTTCTCTAAAGCTGGTGGCCCATTTCCTTCCTGAGACCTCCACCCATACCTTAATAAGTGCTTCCGTCTCTAACAATGTTTCCCCAAAGGTCCACGTGAAGATGGCAGAAATGCATCATTGTGACTTCCCAACTTTTGCTGTTCAAATTACTTTCACGTGACAGAAACCCTGCCTCATCCCAGATGTCTCCAGAAAGGGAAGTGTTCTGTTCAGCAAATGGTTATCATAAAAGTCATGCTTTGTTGTCTCCCTTCCCATATCTGGTGGCTTTCAGGAGTATTTTATTGTCCCTCTTCCTCGCTCTCATTAATGTGGGGGTGGTGGCCACTTGTAGGAATCCAGCATGCAAGCAGCTCGGATTTTGTGAGACCGAGCACATCAGATTTTAACATTAAAATTCATAGTCTTAAGGTATATTCTCCCAAAGGTGGCACCCTCATTCTGGCAAGGTCAGCCTCAGCCTGTTCCTGCCCGGTCTGTCCCTGCCATTTGTCTCTGGGTATGGAGGGGCAGTGCCAGGACATGGCCAGCAGGGGGCGGTGGCAGCCCACAGTCAGGACTGACTCACTGTGTCCCAACCTTACAGCGTCTTCCTCAGAAAGCACCTCGGCTTTCCTGTCAGACCTAGCCCTGCTGTCTTTAGGGGGGACCCTGGCATCCCACTTGGATCTGCATAAGAGCCAAAGCTGCTCCAAGAGCCTCTGCCTGCAGTTTTCTCCAAATCTTGATCTCATTTATAAATTAGAGCCCCCACAAATCAGAGGGTGGGACTAGGAAGGCTCTTGGCAATTAGGGGCCCAGAAAAGATGGGAGTCATTCAAGAGGGATCAGCTACTGTTTCCCTCAGATTTGGGACATAACTCTTTTACAAAACAACTAGAAGTACATCTTTAAAGTTTGAAAAATGCTCTTTCTTTTAATTTAAATCAGACTCATCCCTGCCCCTTCTCTACCAACACCTGTGCTGTTGGGTCACCAATGCCCTCTATCTTGGCAAATTCAAGTCTCCATTCTCTCTTTTTTTTAAATGGAGATACTGGGAATTGAATCCAGGACCTCGTGCATGCTAAGCACACGCTCTACCACTGAGCTATATACAGTGTCCCTCTTCATTCTCTTATCGTTTGACCCCCTCAGCAGCATGTTTGTGTCCTCTCACACTAAACTTCTTAGCTCCAGATATTCTAGGAGATCTCTTGGGGTGATGCTGCTGAGTCCCCTTCAACCAGAGCAACAGATACCATCTGTCAATCTAAGTAAAACCATCCATTGAGGCAAGGGGTCTGGAGGAGGGAGCTTTTGGTGGAGAGACCCCCATGGATGGAAGGAGGGGCACACAACTGCCACCCTTGAAAGAGGTCCAAGCTTCTGACCATCACTACACACGTCAGACTGCACCTGACCAAGGGGACCAGACCAACCCAAAATGGAGCCACTTCAATGCTGCTTCCACCCTGGAATTCCAGGTGGAAACCCCTTAGCCTGCCTATCAGCCACCAAGAATGTTGTACCTGCCAGATCACTTGCTTTTATATTCCTCCCCCTTTTATCTTCTATTTTATACTTTTACTGGGGGCGGGTCGGGGGAGAGACTTTTAAGCCAGTCTCCTTGCCTATTTTCATAGACCCTAAATAACAAAACTCTGTTACAAAGGAAATCATTGAGAAGCTTGATTAGAGTCTTTGAAACCCAACCCTACACATGTCTGTCCTAAAGCTTCAGAGGCGATAGGAATAGAACTCTCCTCAATTCTTGCTCAAGGGAATTCCCCTGCTTTATTGCTCCCCAACTTGGGAGGAGGGTGACACCTGAGCTCACCCAAGCTTAGTGAGGTTCAGGGGAACCACAGTCCCCCTGAGCAGCCTTTTCCCCAGCCTTATGGGTCCAGGACAGCTAAGGAGAAGCCCGGGGATACTAACTACAGGTTGGATGGCAGGAGATGTTCTCAGAAGGCTGTGTTCTCGGCTTGGGCCCGGGGACCAAAGAGTTTCTCGGCAACAGCCTTGCCGTCGTACTTGGGCTGTGTGCCCCCAAAGTCGGAGGGCAGGATGTCCTCATCGAACTCCTGGAAGAAGTCGGAGAGGTCTTCTCCATGGACAAAGACCTGCAGGGAAGCAGGGGAGACAGAGCTGAGCAGGGGATGCTCTAAGGATGGGAGCTGGCGGTAAAGAAGAGGGACAGGAGGACAAAGTCACATATGCCATCTCTGCCTAGTGATGTCCTTCTTCACAGTCCTTCTTGTTGTGCTGTCTATGGGATCCACTCTGTTCAGGACCATGGTACAGTGTCAGAGGAGGACTCAGGTGGGGTCCCCTCTTCCTCCAATCTCATCCCTCTGGTCTCATGAACCCTTTCCTGCTACAGCCCTATTCACTCACTCGCTCACACACACCAGACGATCATTGGACATCTTTCCTATGTGGCCACACACTTACCCGCTGGAGCAATTTGCTCTTCAAGAAGGGCTTGACTACGTTGTAGGTTGTGGTGAAGTACCACGGCTGGTAGATGAAGTGAATGGCTTTGAACCGGGCTGGGAAGGAATCCTGCAGGGACAGAGAGTGCCCCACCACAAGACCCTGACCTCACAGGTTCCCACTCACTCCCCTACTGCCTCTCCTCATGACATGAGGACAGAGTTGTCTCACACTGTAGCCCCAGAGGACTGCCCATGGAAAGTTCCATCTGTGCCAGCAACTGGGGCGCTCTGGCTTCACTGCAGCCCCAAACTGCAGGAAGGAAACCCCAGAAGCCACGCAGCCCAATCCTCTCCCTGCTGATGCATAACACCTTGTAACCGCATGTGGAGTAAAGAAATTAAATGGTAATCTTACTTGGTTTTTAGGTGACTGAACTTTTTCAAACCCACTCGCATGCTGAGTGGACTGCAAAACTATTGTAGACCAGAGGGACACTATTGTCATGCCTCACTGGCCTTCAGCCCCTGCCATGACCCCCCACCTCCCACCCCTCCTCTCCCAGAGAAAGCAGATTTAAGATTAGCTCTAAGAAAGGACTTCTGGCACGTCAGTATATAGGAGTGAGCTGCCAAGGGAGTTAGAGATAGCCCTTTCTCAGGATAAGTTCACTTTCAAAGAGAGGCAGCATGACATATTTGGACAAAGAATGGGATCCCATGTCAGAAGGTGTAGGTTCAAGTCCCGCCTCTGCCACTTTACAGGCGTGTGACCTTGAGGAGTCACTCAGATCTCTCTAGGTTTCTACGTTTGTAAAATGAAGCAGGGAAGCAGGGAGAGAATGCTTTTGAGGAGTAAATGAATTAATGAATGTGAATACTTGGCAAACTATCTATCACTACAAAGTGTGTGTGGTCAGGGCTGTGACTGTCATTGCTCTTTTTGGCACTAAGTGGTTGTCTTCTCAGGTCCCTGCCAGCACCACTAAACCGGGCCAAGCCTCCCAGCCTCGCCACCTGTGAGAGGCTGCTAAAGGACAGGGCTCTGAGGCCTCACCTGGAGCATGTCCACCATCTTCCTGAGATCGGAAGCCCGAAGCCCAGCAGCCTGCTGCATGGTAAAGCCCTTGAAGTTCTCGATGATGCAGAAGCCATTGATTTGAGTTTCCTCATTCTCCAGTAGCTTCTCCAGGATGAAACAATATGCCTGCAAGATCTTGGGCACAGAATGAACAGGCTGTAAGATCCAACCCACAAAGATAGTTAAGACTCAAGGTCCCAAGGGAAGAGCTAATTGGTATACTCTTTACCAGAGTAATTTGTCACAGGCTTTGAGCTGGGACAGTCCACCTCTGTGAATGTATCCCAAGAAAATAATCTTCAATGTCATACCCATGGTAAGATGCCAGAGTGTTTATCCCCATACCCTTGTAATTGTGAAACAACCTAAATGCCCAGCAATAAGGGACTGGTGAAATTATGGCATATTCATGCTATGGAGTATTCTGGAACAGTGATATATAAGATTAATGACAGGGGTGGGTATAGCTCAAGTGCAAGAACGCATGCTTAGCATGCACAAGATCCTGGGTTCAATCCCCAGTACATCCTCCAAAAATAAATAAACAAACCTAATTACCCACCCCCATTAAAAAGACTAATGGTACAGAAAGATATCCATTCATGGTATATTATTGTAGAATATGATCCCATTTTTATAAGAAAAGGGGTGTGTGTGTGCGTGCGCGCATGTGCAAGCACATATGTTTTTAGGTTTCTAGAAAACATAGGCTGGAAGGATGTTAGTGGTAGAAATCTCTGGGTTTCTCTGAATTGTGGATAATTTTAAATGTGATTTTTTTTGGTATTTTCTAAAATGAGTAGATATCACTTATGTAGTAAAAAAAATATTTGTAAGTCTCCTCTTTATATACATATGTATGCCTAAAGCCAATATCTTACAGAGTGGAAAACACTTACAGGCATCCTTAATACAATCAGGAACAAGATAAGGATGTTCGCTTTCCCCACCACAATTCAATTCTGTGTTGGAAGTATTGGCTAATGCAATCAAATTTGTTTCATTTCGTTTTTAAATAAAGTGCATAAGAAGTAGAAAAGGAAAAGAAAAACAATTAGCTCCATTTACAGTTAATAGGATAGTGCTCTTGAAAAACTCAAGAGCATCAATTATAAAACTGACATAAATAACAAAAGAATTCAGTAAAATACCAGGATATAAAATTAACATACAAAAACAATAATCTCCACAGATATAAAAATAACCAATTAGATATAATGGCTGAGAAAACTTCACTTATAGCAACAACAATAAGATAAATACTTAAGACAAACTTAATGACAAATGTGCGTAACATTTGAAAGCTTTAAAACACTCCTAAAAGCTCAAAATGTGAAAGGGAGGTCATCCCTTGTCTGGATAGTACCACTGGCCAAGGATGTTGCATTCATAAAGATGCTAATTCTCTCCAAGTTTGTTATTTACATTAATGTTATCCCAGTAAAAACTCCTAACATTTCTCCTGGAGCTAAACAAATTAATTCCAAGATTCATAAGGAAAAGTAAATACACAAGAATAGCTAGAAAAGCCTTGAAAAAGAGGAGCATTAAGGGCAGAACTAACCCCAACAGATAAACATTCTATACCATCTTTATAATTAAAACAGTGCAGTACTGGAGCATGAATAGAGAGATGACACAGAGTAGAAAATCCAGAAATAGACCCACGTATATATGAAGATGCAGAATATGATAAAGATGGCATCTCAAGTCACTGGGGGAAAAGATGGACTTTAAAATAAATGGTGTTGTGACTAGACAGCATTTTCTAAAATGAGTTTGTGTTTTTTTTAAGGCTTAGTGGCACAAGCCCCAATTCTGCAACTAGGGCAGCTTTCTTAAGGGCTTGACAAGTGAAATCACATACATATGCAAATGCAAAGAACTCAGGCTGCTTAATAGGTTGGAACTTGTGTTTTTCAGAATCTCTCCCAGCCCACTAAGCCCTGTACTCTGTGTCGCTCACAGCTTTCAGCATTTGACAGGGCTGATCCCAGCTCATGGCCCATAGCTGTCACTCCCACTTGGCAGGGATACCAGGGGCAGCCACGTATTGGCCAGTGGGCCCAGCCTGCAGAGCTGCTGGGTTTTCCAGCTGCCATGAATGAAGGTCCAATGGAGGCCAGGTTTGGGGAAGGGCACCCAGCCCCGGAGATGGGAAGGAGCTAGGCGAGCCCCAGCTGACCTCATCAAAGGTGATTTCTTCAGAGTCCCAGTTCTCAATATTGAAGAGAAGGACCACTCGGCCATACTTGTCCCGACTGGAGAGGACACCAGGGTAGCCAGCCTCCACAGTGCAGCGGATGGCCTCCAGGGACAGGCTGTCGAAGAGCTCTGGGTACTGCAGCCGGAAGTTCACGTAGCCTGGCAGAGGAGAGCAGAGGAGGATCCTCAGGGAGCCAGCGCATCCAGGGGTGGCACATGGTGGGGGTCCAGAGACTTGGACTCCTGCCTGGCTCCTCCACACACCTGCTGTGCGTAACCCAGCAGGATACTCAACCTTTCTGTGCCCCATGTTTCCTCTCCCAAAAAGTGGGAGGATAATATCAGCCTCTCTCACCAGATTACTGTGGCAATCAAAAAAGATTTCAGATATGAACGTCGTTTGTAAACTGGACAAACATGAGGTGTGATCCTAAATCTGAGGACGATGATTACTTGCTCATTTTCTCTTTCCCGTGGGTAGAGCCACAGGTTTCTCAGCTGAACACAGGATCAGCTGAGTGGGGGTGGGGAGAAGACCCCCAGATAAAATCCAAACCCCTAGCAGGACACAGAGGCCCTTTCTGATTCCAGCTGCACCTCTACCACCCACTACCCCCATCCTGGCCCATCCTGAATGGGTCCCCGCCCCTCTGCGGTTGTCTCCACTCCAACCCTGGAGGGGCCAGGTCCAGAGGAGGTCTGCCGGGAGCATTTGCCAAGGGAAAGCCCCTGACCTCCTTTCTCGTCCCCAACACTCCAGGCACGCTCCCTCCACCCAGCCCTCATCCTGGCTGTTCCCTCTGCCCTACTGCCCTTCCCCCAGGTATCTTATTTCCTTTGAATTTTTCTTCAAAAGTTGGCCTTCCTAGCCACTTCACCTAAAACTTCAACCCCTCAGTCCTTCATATCCACCTCCTTTATTTTTATCATTATCCCTTCTTACTCTCTAACAGTCTTATTCATTTTTATTTTATTTGTCTGGTTTATTCTTTCCACCATTAGAACATAAGGCCCATGAGGGCAGGCAGTTCTTGTTGGCTTTCTTCTCTGATATATCCTTTGGCCTAAAACAGTTGTTGGCAGAGCACGGTAGTGAATTAACATTTTCAGAAAGAAAGAAGAAGGAAGAAGGGGACTCATTAGGCTGTAGAGGGCCCGCTCAGACACGCCTTCCCTCGACCGGCCCCAAGAACTTGATTTCCTTGGGACACTTGTCTTCATCCAGGGGGCACAGCCAGGGCAGTTCTGTCCTTGGGGCTCACTCCCAGGGCTGGCACCATCTTCAATTCCACTCTGCATGACGTTTGGGTACCTGCGGGGAGTCAGGCTCATACCCGCCTTCCCTGCAGCGCTCCAGAGCCAAAACCTAGGCTGAATGGGTCGGGGAGGGGAGAGGAGGGAAGGGAAAGGAAACTCCCCCGTCTTGGACACACAATTTGGGTGACTCAGTTCTATTCATTGAGTCCCCAGACTCAGAGAGAGGAGAGAGAGGGGCTAGATCTCTAGGAATCTGGTCCTGCCAGGCGCATTCATTCATTGTCAAAGCTGAAAGAGATCTTGAAGGCTATTTCACTCACACACCCATTTTACAGATAAGGATAAAAAGGCGCAGTGATTTGTGCAGGGCAGGGAATTGGACGGAAGCGAAGGGGTCCGTCTCCTCAGTTCCTGGGTGAGGGTCAATACCATCCTCATGACCTCCCTCCTTTACCCCCTCACTCCCCACCCCCCTCAGCCTTCCCCGGGCTGTCCTTCCAGTGCAGGCCTCACCTCTGAGCAGCTCGTAGGCTCGCCCCACGTCGAACTTGCGTGCGCGGATGAAGCGCAGGAAGAAAGCACTGTCCTTTCCCTGCACCCTCTCGGCCACAGCCACTGCCAGCTCCTGCCCAGAGGCTGCCTCTGTCTGCACTAGTTCCTGCAGCTCCCGCACCACCTCCTCCCGAGTGTCCTCCGTCTCATTCAGCTCGTCCTTGGCCTGGAACAGAGGTGGGGTGCAGGCACGAAGTCACAGGTAGGCACTGGTGTGGAAGTCTCCTCCCGGTGCCAGACTCGCTGAGGGGCAGAGGGGGCGGCAGCTGGGGCCATCGCTTCTCTGCCCACAAGCGCAGCATCAGCACCGGCAGCACCTCAGATTGCAAATTACAGTCATTGGAGAAAATGCGGTCAAAATGCTCATCTTGGGTTTGTTTGCAGGAGATAGCCCCAAATCTACACTTACTGGAGCCCTAACTTAGCACACTGCTAAGGCCTTTAAACATGTTATGTTTTTAAATCTTTGCCACAACCCATCACAGTAAGGTTGTTATTCCTATCCCCATTTCTCAGGGTGAGCAGACTGAGGCTCATAGAAGTCAAGATATTCTTGCCCCAGATCACCCAGATAAAAATGGGTGGAACTGGGACTCCTAGACAGGCTGGACTTAATCACTTCACTCTGCTGCCTCCCAGGCTCATTTCTGATCTTTTCAAACACAAAGATACCAGGCAAATGGCAGCTTGCCCGCTGCCTAACATTCCTCCCCTTGGCTGAGCCTGGAGAACTCCTCAGCTAATCCTCTCTTTGGCATGAGGGGGGAAAGCAGGTCTAGGGGAGCTCAGAGCACCTTTCCCTTGAGATGCCCAGGGAACAGAGATGGATAGGAGTCCAGACCCAGCTCAACCCCAAGACCTCTCTGCCAGCCCACAGTCTGATAATCTCTGAGCTTGTCCAACAACTTTCTTTCATACTGAAGGCAAGACCCAGACAGGGAAAACAGTTTGCTCTTGAGTTGGAAGTCAATCTGATATTAGAACTCAGGCCCTTTCCTATCCATTGTGGGCAGCAGTTGGATCCCTGTTCTCCAAAGCCACTTGCAAACCAATGTTTCTCACATCTGAGTCTAGGATGGTCCCTGGTTCAGAGGCTGTAGGTCCCGGCATTAGTATCAGGGAGCCCTGTTGGTGCTGTAGTCTTGGAATAGGCTGTCCTGGATGTCTGTTCAGCCTGATTGCTGCCTTGGCTCTGACTTTCAAGATAGCCCCTAGAACAAGCCAGTCCATTAGGTCCAGGATGACCTGGAGAGCTAGTGCTGGGTTCTTTCTACAGGAGAGAGGATGCTGTCAACATTCCTCCTTGTTGCTTCCCTAGCCTGCCCCTTCACGCACCCGGGGCCACCTTACCTTCTGCAAGGTGTGGCGGGGCAGCTGGCTGCATTGGCCAAAGACAGGCCCATGGTCTTTGGTTGTAAGCCGCTCCAGTTGGGAACGGAGTTCCTGTTCCTCTTCAGGGACCAAGCGGAATGTGCCCGCCTGGGCAGAGAGAAGCCAGGAAAAAACAGGAAGAAGCTCCCATCAGCCTCAACAAGCCAGTCAAATGGGCCTGCTCAGGCCCTAAACTAGTGCTTTTTTGCCCAGGGTCACTGTTAAACTGTTTCCTTTCAGGCGGGGTCAGGGACCACAGAGTGGCTGTAGGCGTGAGGGCCCATAACCCCAGGCAGACCAGATGATGGAGAAATGGGAGAGAGAGAAGGAAGGAGGGAAGGTGGAAGGAGGAGGGGAGCCCCAGGGCACTGGCGTACTCACCCCCTCTGACATGCTGTCTCTGGAAGACTCGGAGTACTGAGAAAAAGAACCTCGCTTCTTTTGTCCTGGCCTCTCCAGGCAGCCTCTTTAGGAGAGGAAGTCAGGGCTGCAGTGGCAAGAAGAAGCTGTTCTGTTATTGTCTCAGGAAAATGGATCTCAAACTTTTGAGTGCAACAGAATCACGTGGAGCATTTGTTTGAAATGCAGATTCTTGGGCCCTGCACTTGTGATTCTGACTTAGGAGGTCTGACTGGGGCCTGGACATCTGCACTTTAAAGCAGCGCCCCTGGTGGCCCTGAAGGTGTTTCCAGATGTTCTCCCCTCCCACCTAAACATCCCCAGACCCATCACCACCCTGCTCCTGCCTCTGACCTGGTTCCTGTTGTCACCTGTTCATTGCTGATAAACGGCAGAGGTGGGATTTGAATCTATGTCTGCCTGACACTAAGACTTGATTTGACACCTAGAACATCTCCAGACAAAGTCCCTAGAAGAGCTGGTGTCACAGAAAACCCTTTAGGGTCAGAGAGACCCCGGTTTGAATCAGGCATTGTCATTTATCACCTGTGTGACCTTAGACAAGTTATTTAACCTTTCTGAGCCTCAGTTTCCTCTTCAGCAAATTGGGGATAATAACCATACCTACTAAATAGAGTTGTGATGAAGATCATATAATTTCTGTATGGTATCTAGCACAGTGTTTTGCTCTAAAACATTGTTCCTCTTCTCTTTCTTAGCATCATATTGATCATTACCCCAACTTGCACAGACAGACTTAGTGGATTCCAGGCAATGTCTGAGGGTCTCCCGTTTCCTGCCTCTCCCACTCCACAGCCCCAGCAAGGGAAGTTCTGAGAGCTGTAATCCACCAACAGGAACCAAATCTAAGTCAGCTTTCTGGCAGCAGACTTCCAGATATGCGGGCATAGATACAAGACAGCCTGAAATGCTGCCGTGCTGTCACTTGGGTTTTGCTGAATCAGAAATGGAGAGCCTGATAGAACTCCCCAGGAAAGGAGCTCAGATGGGAAAGACAGCGGCTAGACACCCCCAGCCAATGAAACAGATCATCACGTCAAGATCCCAGATCTCAGAAATGGAGGATTGAAGCCAGTACAGCAACTCTTTTTTAAGTATGCCCAGTCTACTAACTGTGATTTTTTAAAAATATTGATTTATGAGCTGTTCACAATGAAAAAATACCCACCCCTCATTCCAGGTCAAGGCTGTTGCAGATAAACTACAGAATGCCCAATTACAAGTGAATTTCAGATGAATGAAAAAATTTTTTTGAAGTGTAAGAATAGGCTGTACAATATTTGGGGCATTACTCATACTTAAAAAGTATTTGTTGTTCATCTGAAATTCATATTTAGCTGGGTGTCCTATACTTTTATTTGCTAAATCTGGCATCAGGTTGGTCTGGCCTAACTCGGAGAATGGCCAGTTGATTTCAGTTTTTCGGGCAGCGTGGGACATGGTCTCCCCACCACCAACTCCTCACCCCAGTCCTGGGTTCCCTGGCCCAGCCAGTCCCCTGCTACTGACTTACCTGTCAAGTCAGCAGCTTCTCCTTGGGGTACCTGCTGCCCGTGTCCTCCAGGACCCTGGAGGTTGCCTCCACTGGGGGCGTGGTCCAGTCAGCAGGCTGGGATTAGTGTGTCACAAGGAACCTCTCACGGCCCACAGTTTCCTGTTAAATCGGGCCCACAGGGAGGCCCAGATTGGGGCAAGTGACGCACCGGGGGGGAGAGGGGATCAGCTTGGGCCTGGCTGGAGGCCCCTCAAAGCCCTCCTTTGTGTGCGTCTGCTCTGGAGTTCCTGCTCAGCCATGTGGAAGCCGGGCTGTAGGGGTAGGATCTGGGTCAGCCTCATTCCCTTCTCCCTGTCCTCTCTCTCATCACGGGGTGGTCTGAGAAAGCACACCCCAGGGTAAGATGTGCACGGGGTGGAGGGAAATTTTAAATGTGATTGTAGATGAAATGGCAGCTGTGACGAATCCAGGCCTGTCACCCTCTCCCCCAGCCCAGCAGGGCCTGGCAAGGTAGGGGCCAAGGAGTGGGGCCGGGTAGGAAATGTAGCTGCTTAAAGCTGAGTTGGGAAAGGACAAGACAGGCTGACCTGATTTTAGGCAGTAGGCTGAAGTGATAGGAGGTTGCTTGGGAACCAGGCTGCCCATTTTTAAATCCTAACTCCAGCACCTTCTAGCTATGAGAAGTGACTTCACCACTCAGTGACTCAGTTTCCTCCCCTGAAAATTGGAGATAATGAAAGGACAGGCTCATGGCTTTAGTGAGGATGAAATGGCAACAAAGTGCTAAATTAGCTCATGCCTGACACTCAGTAAATGTAAATGTGCAGTAAATGTTGGCAGTTACTCCAAATAGAGAAACAATAGGCATCTGGATAGAGGGGACTCATATTATTCAACCCTCTGCACAGCAAGAAACCCCTCTGCAGCCCCAGGTGGCTTCCCAGCCCCTGTTTTGGTAATCCACCTCATGGAGGGGTGGTGGTGGTAATGCCTTTATAATATTAATACTGTCTCTCCAGGAGTCCACGGGCAGAGAGTTCCCTGTTTCCACTAATGGACCGAGCCCCGAGCAGTCGTCTATGATGTCACCCTTGGTCTGGGTTTTGCTTCCCAGAGGTGCCTGGGGGCACAGCCAAGCTCCTGTGCATGGGACATTCTCCAGAATCCCCAGAAATGCTTTTAGGTTTTCCCCAGAAGTAGTTCTTTTCCAACACATCTCTAAATGGATAGGTTTGGGATCTCTTCATCCTCTTGTGCCCTCTTCAGATACCCTTAGGCTGCTGAGAGTGCCCTTGAAGGGAAGTGCCCTGGGACCAGCACCTAACCCATCCCCACCCCTACCTCTTCAGACCACCTTCCTCTAGAGCCAATCATGATGTCTGGAGCTTGGATCTTGGGATGGTGCTGACTGACCAGAAGCCCTTTGCTTCCAACCGCCTGGGCTCCCTCTCTGGCTGCTAACTGGCTCTTGGGCTGCTTCTCTCCCAAGTCCTCCCTGGAGCTCAGGAATCTCTCATTTCCATCATTCTGCTCCCTGGCAGTTTAGTCCTGTGCTGTCCAATACAGAAGCCATGGGCTACATGCAACTTTTCAGCCCTTGAAATGGGATAATGTGACAGAACTGAACTGTAAATTTTATTTAATTTTAACTAAATTTAAATTTAAAACCTGATAGCTAGATTAAGTTATTGGAAAATTTTTCAGTATGTTTGGAACCACTTAAGTGTGTGATTCTACCTTTTCAACTGTAAATGTTATGATCAGGTACTTCTGAGAAAAACTTAGAGTCTGAAGTGAGATGTGCTATAAATATGAAATACCTACTGGATTTTGAAGATGTAGTGCAAAAATTTCTCATTAACAATTTTTATGTGGCTTGGTGTTCTGAAATGATGTTTTGGATATATTGGGTTTAGAATATATTTGAGTTAATTTCACTTGTTTTACTTTTTTTGATGTGGTCATTAGAAATTTTTAATTTTTTAATTTTAATTTAGTGTTAATGGCTCCTATCATATTTCTAATGGGCAGGGCTGGTCTAAACCTTGTTACCACTCAAAGTGTGGCCCATGGACCAACAACATCAGCATCATCTTGGAGCCTGATAGAAATTCAAAGTACCAGGCCCTTCCCCAGACAGGCTAAATCAGAACCTGTATTTTAACAAGAATCCCAAGAGCACTAGAGAGTTTCTGGCCTCTCCCTCTTCTGCCTGTGCCCAGCAGTCCCTTGCCTGACCTCTTACTTCCCGCCAGCTCTGCAGATTGGTGGGGAGGTAGATTAATGACTGCCTTCACCCACCATCCTCATCTTCTTTTGGGGGCAGGGCAGTGGGGACCTGATTGGGGGTGTGAGCAGCAGAGAAAGGAGAACAGAGAGGGAGGGTATCCTGACCTGATTCTAGGCCTGGCCCTGCCTACCACAAGCCATTGACCCTCTCTGGCCTCAGCTGTTACATTTGTAAAATGATGTTATGAATTGTGTACCCCCTCCCCCAAATTCGTATTTTGAAGTCCCGTGTGTCTATATTTGGACGTAGGGTCTTTAAGAGGTAATTAAGGGAAAAGGTACTTTATAGCAATTGAGGTCATCATGGTAGACCCTATCCAATATGACTGTTGTCCTTATAAGAAGAGGAAATTTGGACACAGACAGTTACAGAGGCATGATGAGATGAAGACACAGGAAGGAGGTGCTACCTACAAGCCAAGGGGAGGGATCTCAGAAGAAACCAGCCCTGTCAACACCTTGACTTCTAGCCTCCAGAACTGTGAGAAAATGAATTTCTGTGGTGTAAGCCACTCAGTCTGTAGCAATTTGTTATGGCAGCTTCAGCAAACTAATATAGGTGGGATGTTGAATTTTTTTTTCCAGGTACTTCACAGAGTGCAAGGCTCATGGGAGATAATGGAAGTGGGGGGTTACCACGGGAAAGAAATATGGAGGCCCCAGAAGAGGCTCTGTCAAAGCCGGGTGGTGGATTCCAGCACAAAGGAGAACATTCCTCTGCACCAAGAACCCTTTCGCATTGACGGCACAGCCCTGATTTGTTGTGGGCTGCTGTTCACAGAGATTTTCAGGATGCTGGCAGGCCACAAGGCCCTGTTTAAGGAGCAGAGTCTTCTGAGGCATTATCCTCTGCTCACAGCCCTTCTCTGCCTCTGCCCTGACCTTCCCCCCTCCCCAGAGTCACGTCCATGCCCAGCTCCTCTGGCTGGAACAATAGTGCCACTGTGTGAGGGGAGACGTTGCCCTCATTGGCCGGGACACCTGTGCTGGCCACACTGGCAGCCACTCTGGGCTCCCTGGCTCTCTCTGCCAGGCTGGAGGCAGGGGGCGGTGAGGCTCGCGTTTGCCGTGCTCCTATTCTCTACTGCGGCAGGGGCCTTACTAGCATTATCTCATCCAGTCTTTTCAGATGTGAAGTAGAGAGTAAATTCCCCCCTTTCACGGAACAGAGAACTCAGAGTCAGAGAGGTGAGGGGACCTGCCCAAAGCCACACAGCTGGCAAGGAGTGGAGTCCTGGTTACTCTAAAGCCCTCTCATCATTCAACACACAAGGCTGCCCCCTTCTCCGGAAGTGAGAGTGACACAGATGTCGCTGCCCAGGGAAGTCACACCTGCCCCTGGCTCCTGGGGAAGGTGACATAATTTCACCTTCTTGAGAGCAGTTTCAGGGGACAAGAGTCTGGTCATTGCCATTCCCTCTTGGCCAGTCCTAATTCTCCTGGGCCTGGAGGGCCCTAGGAATTCCTGAGCCTCAAACCCTCCTTTAAGAAACTGGAAAACCGAGGTTGAGGGACATTCTGAACCTTCCTTAAAATTGCACAGTGGTAATGAGACTGCCCTGACTAGCATGGGCTGGCAGCCACCTCGTGCTCCAAAAAATTCCAATTCCTCCAAGAGGGACGCTTAGTCCAAAAAGAAGAGTCTGCACTATGGCAGTGGGGCAGCGGGAGGAGTCAGAGATGAAAGCAATGAGGAGTAGAACAATGAAATCAATTAGTATGCTTGTTCAAAGAGTATTTTTGAATTAAGTAGGTTTAATAATATGAGGACAAACAAATGAGTGCTCTCAAACAGGAAGTTGGCTTTAAGTCCCCACCACCAAAGAAAAAGGTATGTTTGCTATGGACTGAATGTGTGTGTCCCCCACTGAATTCTTATGCTGAAGCCCTAAACCCCCAATTTGTTGGTGTTAGGAGGTGGGTCTTCTGGCAGGTGATTAGCTTTAGACAAGGTCATGAGAGTGGGGTCCTCATGATGGGATTAGTGCCCTTATCAGAAAAGGAAGAGATCATAAGCAAGTAGCAGGCCCAGACAGCTGAAAGGCATCATTCTCTTCCAGCAGTTATATTTCTCCCAGAATTAGAGCCACTTCACTCCTGGAAACTGGGAGTCAGGCTCCCGACTGAATGTCCCCTGATATTAGCATTCCTTCACCTGCCATCCCAAGGGCACCTTACATTTGGCAAGTTCAAATGTGAAGGCCTCATCATCATCCTCAAACTTGCACCTTTCCCTATGTGTCAGTCTGCTGGCAGTATCAACCCACTCCCTACCCCGGTCATTCAAGCCTGAGTACTCCTCAACTCCTCCCATCTCTCCCCAAGCCAATGCACTCTACTTCCTAATCTCTTTCATATGGGGTCCACTCTTTTCCATTTGTCCCCACTGCTACTGTTTGGACCACCACCACTTGTGTCCAGGACAATCTATAGCCTCCTAAGAGGTCCTGCTTCAATCACCCTACCCCCATTATCTCTCTTGAACAATCTCTGTAGCACACACCTGCCAGAAATACTGTTCTACAAAGTGAATACAATCATGCCCTTCCACTTCAGCTGTTCCCCACTGCTCCTGATGTGAAAAGGACTTCCAAGCCCCTGCTTTCCCACCTTCATTCGAAGCAGGTTTACCTGCTGAACTAGCCAAAGGCTGGAGTGCGTGTTGCTGTCAGGCCCTTTGTACAAGCTGCCCCTTCAAACTAATACAGACTCTCAGCACCCACCCCCCATTGCTCTTTGTTCCATTGTCAGTTGTTCGCTTAACAAATATTTTCTAAGCATTTACTGCTTTGCCAGGCTATGTTCTAAATGATGAGGTTTCCCATGCAAAAAGCTCCCTGGCTGGCCACATGTGACTTACATCTTAGGACTGTTGACTGAAAGAAAAACACACAACCTAAAAGTTGTGAGTTATGTCTTATCCGAGGACCTTACTGAGGACTGTAGCCCAGGAGTCAGCCTCTCTGATAGCTTTGAAGATC